GGACCCCCAAGTGGCCTCCCTCAATACCAGACACAGGCCTCTGGTTCGCCTGGCTCCAAAGAAGACAGCACTTAGATCTTTTCAGTACGATCAATGACTATTCACCAACCTTGCTGATAGTAACTCTGCACTTTCCCTTTGTGTGGTGCTGGTGCAACAACGGGCCCCAGGATCCAATGGCCCTGGGGAGTCTGGAGTTGGCGCTGGTGGCACCTGCACGGTATGGAGGACACCAGTCTCTAGCCAGCCGGAGCACAAGGCTCTCTGGATAGAGGAGCAAGGCGGAGGGATGTTCCTCCTGTGCTGGTTTGCACGCTCCGGGGCAGAGTGATACTTATTTTAAGAAAAAACACAGTGGCCAAAAACACAACTTGCTGAGAACTCTCAGAATTTTTTCAAGCCAAGAAAAGCCCAAGAGGGGCCTCATGCAGGGTCTCTCACTTCTGACTGCCCCATCCCTGCCAGGGGCTCTTAGTACGTGAAAGAAAACACCGGACCTAGCACTTAGAATGCGTTGACTCCAACACTGGGTGATCGTGCAAATCACTTAACCTCTCTCCAGAAAACATGGGCCATAACAAAAATATTTTAATCCACTCAATCAGCTGACAAGTGTTCCCGCGTCCCCACTGTGCTCCAGGGCCTCCAATACGGCGACCGCAGCCAAGGGGAGCAGAAGCCAATGACTGCGTGACCCGATTACTGAGTAGTCTCAACCAGGGGGCGGCTGTCTTCAGGGATTCCTTTCTCCGATCACTGCCTCCAAGGCAACGTGACAAATGTTCCATAATGAAGTCCCTGCAGACCCACTGGCTGGATTCAACCCCTGTCATTAACACGATTTAGACAGTGAGAAGCCTGGTCTCTGGCTGGACCCGGGTGACCTCCAGTCCTGGGGCAGGTGAGGGCTGCGGGGAGGAGGGGCTGTCCCGCTGCCCACTGTCATGTGGTTGTGGCTGTCCCTCGGGCCACCCCGGGCTGGCCCCAGTCCAGGAAGCATGTTAATCTAATAATAAAGAAAGGAGGAGAGAGAGAGAAAACTCCCAGTCTGCGGCTGGAGTTGGGGCATCTGATCAATCCGGACAGAGGAGAACCTGGGAAACCGCCGCTCAGTCTTCTCCTGGAGTCACTGGAAATAAATGCAAATCGTCCACCCTTTTCCCAATTCATAATGCACACTACAAATAGGAATAGTCAATACAAAATTCAACTGGGAACAGCAAAAAGTCACAGGGCACAGTTTATTACAAAGAAAAACTGAAAGATTACATTACAGAAACTCCCAAACTGAAAATGATGGTGAAAAATTAGGGTTGGTACAAATAATAAAGGGCAGATTGACAAGGGTGTACCTGCACCTGCTAACATGTTCTGCAGGCTAATAATAATCAATAGGTAAACAAAATTGTGATGAAATTTAGATTGTAAATGCTGACCTACAAAATGCAGATTTGAAGAAATAACGGCACAGAGGAGAACTCACCATGGCAGAAGGTCTGATTGGCAAAACTGGTACAGACCAAAGAACTAATCAGTGAATCACTTTTTTGGACCAAAAGTTGCATTGAAAGAATTCAACTTGGTCAAAAGAAATTTCAATTTAAAAAATGCAAAAAATTTGGGTGTATTTTAACAGCAGTATAAGGAAGTTGGTTTAATGGAGTTAACTCTGGATCATAGTTTCCAAATGAAAATACATTAATGCTGATATATTTGTGATGGAAGTGTTTATGTTAATAATCATTGACCCAAAACTGCAGTCTTAGACCCACAATATCAGGGTAGGCAGAAATAAGCAGAGAGGGGGGTGTAGAGAAGCAAAACACCTTTGTCTGACAGGGGATGAAAATTACTGCTTATTGAGCATCTAATACGTGCCAGGCACAGCATTAGGTTCTCTCTCTCTCTCTCTCTCTCTCCCCCCACCCCCCAGCCCACCCCAATCCAGTCCTCACCACACAATTCCCTAAGTTGGAAATAATATCATATATTTGGAGCTAAAGAATGAGACACAGAGAGATGCAGGCTGCTTGTTGGTTAAAGTCACTGGAACAGCAGGAGGGAGCATCGTGTGGCAGGTGCTAAGATGACATTTGTTGAACAAGTGACCTTTACTTTCCAGGCTCATTTAGTCATGGGTCTGGGGACCCTGTGCTTTGTGGTCTGATGCTGTTCCCTTTGAGTCTGAGCGTGTCCCCCCCACCCCCCATGGTCTCTTAGGAAAGAGCCCCTCCCCACCTCCTTCCCTGCTGCCCTTCCCCGGGATGATTCACAGGTTGACATCGGCCTTTCTATGTCACTCGGGTAAGTAGTATTTTGCAGACTAAATTGGTGCTTGTTACATTTTTAGGATTCCAGAGTCTGAAATCAGGTATAGAAGAATATTTCCCTCTCAAGTGTCCTCAGAAAGGTATTCATTTGTTCTATGGCTGTCCATCTGAAAGAAAACAGCTATTTTTCTGGTGACTGAGGGCAAGAGACAGTAACGTTTTTATAATGATAAGGTGATAGATGTTTGTAGAGAGGTTTGCAAATACAAAATTGTACATGAATACTAGATTATAGTTATATCAGTTTTTCACTACATAAACAATTGGCAGATATAATTGCAAAACCCAGCTAACTTGAGATTGTTTTTCTATAGCCTACTTGGTTTTTATTGCTTAGACTATTTTATGCTTAACAAAGGATTTTAATTATTAGTAATGTCTAAGATGATAAGATCGATTCTTAAAACATAGGAAATATTTCCTGCCACCACCCCCATCTGAAACTAAATATACTGTTTAAAGGTTAGTTTAACTAATCTCTCCCCCAAACAGATAAACAACAGCATCGTGAGGAGAAAGCAGTATAAAATAGTCAATGATTATTCCCAGTAACAGCGTCTGACTGTCGGACGTGATCACGCTCGCCTGCTGGGGTCAGCTTTGCAGAGGCAGCGTGGCCGAGCGTGCGACCGTCAGAGCGGACAGACCTGGGGGAAGAATCCACTCTTTGCTTCTTTCTCAGCGGTGGGCACGTAACAGAACCTCGTTTGGCCTTAGTATGATGAACTGAAAGTGGACATAGCAGTAGTGCTTTACTAGTTTCCAAGGGCAGCTACAGCATTGTTCCACAGACCAGGCGGCCTGAACAGCAGAAACGCACTGTCTCACGGCTCCGAGGCCAGAAGTCCGAGGTCAGGTGTCGGCAGGGTGGGCTCCTTCTGAGGCGGTGAGGAAGGAGCTGCCCAGGCCCCCAGCTTCCGGTGGACGCAGGCCAGCCCGGGTGTCCCTCGGCTTATGGAGGCTTCGCCCGTCTCTGCTTTCTCTTCACATGACACTCTTCTGCTGTGCGTGCCTGTGTTGAAATTCCTTCTTTTTATAAAGACACCAGTCTTACTGGATTAGGGGCTACCCTACTCCAGGTTGATTTCGTCTTAACTGGTTACATCTGCAAAAATCTTATTTCCAAATAGGTCACATCCTGAGGTTCTGGGGGTTAGGACTTCAACACACGAATGGCGGAGGGACACAATTATAACCACAATGAGGACCTGCCTCACATGACTGATTGGAAGATCAAATGAGATAGTGACTAGAAATTAATTAGCATTGCATCTGACACACACTTTCTAGCTATGACTACAGCCCTCCTCCTTGAAGGAATTCCTCACAGTTATTACCTGAATTATAGCACGTTACTTCTGTTAGAAGCTATGAATCTTCTAGAAAATGCATCACTTAAATATCACATACCAGATAGTTCATAAACTCATGTGTCAAATAAAGAGGTCTGGGTCAATGACAGTAGTTGGCAGAGAAGGTCTTGCAGGACAAGAGAAATGGGGAACTGGCCGTACTGCACCGTTTCTCAGCAGCCAGAGACAGGACAAAGAGCAGATCCTGATGAGCCCTTCAGGAAGCAATAATGACTTTGGGAGACCTTTGATTGCTAAGATTCTGAGTTTTTGTTATTTAAAAACCAGTTCCTGTAAGATGTACAAAGACATATAAAGAAATTCCTTCCTACGTCGAGCGTTAGGCATTCCCTACTGTGCCAAGAAGTCAATAGAAATATGAAGGTTGCTAACATGTTGTTTTCCTGTTGTTGGGAAGATGAGATGCACACTGGGGAAGCCCAGAGTGATGGGCGTAGACTGTACTCAACTGATAGGATGTGTGGTGTGAAGGAGACGGGACAGCAGGTGGAAATGACTTGCGGGAAGTCTGTCCTGAGAGAGCTGGCTCCAGAGTCAAGGAGCTCGTGCTGTGTCAGGCTGGGGCTAGCAGCGGGAGAAGACCAGGCAGACGTGAGCGCAGCGTGTATCTGCAGGGGTGGGGTTGTGGGCAGGGTCCTGGGGCCAGACTCAGGCAGCAGTGACCTCTCACGGCTCATGATGCTGTTTGTCCTAAGGCTTTCTACTTAAAATAAACAACTGTGCATTAAGGAATTGAGCAATGGTCAAAGAAACCTGAGCCTCCCCTGCTGGGATGGGGCAGAGAGTGGCCCCACACCCGGGAAACACTCCCATCTCTGCAGAGACGCTCTCAAGGGCTGAAACTCTTAGATGTGGTGTCTGAACATTTCAAGAGCAGTGCAGTTTTCAACATAAAAGTTCAACTTTCAGTGTCTGCCTTTGAGGGAGGAGATATAACTAAACAGTAAAACTTGCATCCACAGATGACCTTTTTTCTCTGAGAAACCTTTGTAAGAATCTTTACTCCTAACAAGATAGTATTTCAATGCAAGCACTTAATGTACCGAAGTCTTCATTATTGCCAAGTCTCCATCTGCGGACACCCGACACCACCTAAGGTGTAGGAATGAACGATCATTACACTTTCATTATTTAAAATACATCAAAGAGCCAGAAAGTCTAATATGTCATACAAAGTAGCTCTGAGGTCAATGCCTTCAGGATTCCAATAATCCACACCAGCTTCAGCAAAATAAAGCAGATTCATTACTTCGGCTGTGAATTGCCTTGTGCTAAGCAGCAGCTGAAGAACGTGGACTTACCACCTGCAGATCACTGTCCAGGTGAGGCCCGCCAAGCCGCCGACCAGCAGGGCGCCCAGTGCGATGGAGACCCATGACGCCCACGGGAGCCTCCCGGAGTCTGGGGAGCAGAAGAAGACGGGTTAGCGGAGATCGCCAGGCTGGGCAGGCAGACCCATCCCACCTGACCCCAGGCCCGTGCCCTGTACTGCAGGGAGGGTCATTTATCTGCCTGGAAAAATTGTTTAAATGGTAAGTCCAGACCCAAATGTGGGGTGTGTGCAGAGGGCAAGCCAGGGGCACCGGTGTTTATCTCTGAGAGACACGGGCTGCCTCACTGGTCATTGGCATCAAAACCATCCCACAGGGACAGGAAACATCGATTTATGAGCAAACCAGGGAGGGCACCTCGTACCCCCTGAGTGAGCCCTGCTGCAGAGATCCTGGGGACCCTGAAAGGACTAGGCAGGGCAGGAAGTGGATACGAAGGGGCTTGACTGAGCGTTGTGTGCTGCCCGGAGCTCCGGCCTTGGTGGCACTTTGTTTTTCGTAGGAACAACATGAAGCTTCAACCCTGGCCGAGGGACAGCAGTCCGAGTCCTGTGGACAGATGGCAGCAGACTTCCCAGCGAAGGCTCAGCTGTGGCTGCTCATTCCAGAAGGAAACTAAGCAGGGTTAATGGGGCCAGACAGAGGAGATCCAGAGCGGTGGATGGGGCAGACAGAGGCTGCCCAGGAGTCCGCAGCCTGTGCTGCTGGGGCCGCGGGAGGTGCCTCCTGGTGCCGGCCTCCCGTCCTCATCCTGAAATGATGCGGCTGCAGAGGTGGTTTCCAGGCTCCTGCCAGCCCCTTGTTCCTGTGATTTCTGGAGGAGATGTCATCTGGGACAGGAGTGGCATTGAGCTCAAGGTCTGTCCGGTCATGGTTTTGCCACTGACTTTTCTGTTGATTATTTTTTATTCTGCCATCTCTGTTTTGCAGCATCTTGCACAGATGGAACTTACCATGCCCAACCCCAGCTGGCTCCTTTCCTCATGTGCTTTCTCACATGGCACACGCTGCACCTGATTCACTCTGGGCATAGAAGCCCAACCCATGGGCACCCACCCCTCCCCATGCCCAGGCTCAGAGGTCATGCACTGCCCAGACGTGCATGCTGAGAAGCTCTCTCCACACTACAACAACCTAGCTCACTCCACCTCTGTCTGAAGAGGGACCATCACCATGTCTCTGCCCAGACTCACTCTGCTAGACCAGCGCAGGTCTCCTGCTCTTTGAGGCTAGGCTAGGGTCCCCAGCAGGTGTCTGTGGCACCACCACACCCTTTCCACGCTGGGCCTGTTGATAGGTTTGTCCCATCCCCGGCCCAGACTATCAGCCTCACACCTACGGGTCTCATCCATGCCATCTGCCTGGCACAGCTCCTGGACATGCAGCAAATACTGGTTGAATACACAGATGTGTGAATACATCCTTACTGTATATCCTGAATATTCCTCTGGAACTACTCTGCCCTTTGACCCTGTGCACCTCGTGACTTTTCCTCCTGGGCTCCCATATCCATCTCCCCACCTCCAGAGTTTCCTTCATTCCACTCTCTCACAGCCACTGGGGAGTCCGCAGCACAATGAGACCACGCCAGTCTTTGCTGAAAGCCTGCAGAGGACAGAGCCCCTTGCTGGCCACCTGGTTCTCATTCATCCTGCTTCCACGAGAGGCCAGGTTTATGCTTTCAATGAACAAATGCTTGATCTCAGTCCCTGCGGCCATGGTGGAGCTCACCTGGACAGCCCAGGTGGCCAGGCTGAGCCAATCAGAACGGGGATATGATTGGCCCAGGTGGGCACAGACCCAGGTCCAAGCAGTGAGGGCCACGCAGCCCATGGAAATTCATTCTGGAATGTTAGACATTCCAAGGAGGTGGACCCTTCCTTTCCTGCCAGATTTGATTCTGAGAAAACTGGAGCTGGAGGATTTTAGGGTCACCTGTGGAGCCAAACATGTGACAGCAGGGACATTGAGGAAGAGGGAACCCGAGTCCTGGACAGTGGTGAGCCTCTGACTTAAGCCCACTTTAAACTAGCGACAGACAGACCATCAGCAGAGAAGCAGGCGACTCCACACTTCACCAGACGCGTGCAAACGGCCCGGCAGGCAGGATAGACAGCGCTCGGCAGCATACTCGTGTGGTGTGTGCTCTGCTCCTGTTTTCTCTTTCCTGAGACTTGCAGACTCGTTTGGGGCCAGGCTCAAGGCCACCTGATGCTGGGGATTCCCTGACAGAGACCAGCCCTTCAAGCCCCTCCGCGTCCTGCGGGACCATCCCGAAGCTCAGCAGCGGCTGCTGGGTGCCGGCTCCTCCAGCCTCTCCAGCTCGACGCCGGGCAGCCATGAGTTCCCTAGGGTGGGGTGCACATGTGGGTGCTCACCTGGAGTGGACGGGTGGGGCAGGACCTCCTGGGGCTGAGGGAAGGGTCAGTGAGGGCACTGGGAGAGGAGGGACACTGGCCCGCCTGCCTTGACTGTCAGCGTTCATCGTTCAGGGCACCTGGAAGGTGCTCATGGCTGCCGAGGTAAGAGGGCAGGTGTTTCAACAGGACGTGAGGTCTCAGTGACACTGCAGTTAGGCCCCAGCATCAGGGAGACGTAAAGGCAGTACTGTGCCCGACATCCTCACTGTCCACGGAAGTTCCTGCGGGGCGGCCGTGTGTGGTAGGAGCCTCGGTGTAGGGGGCGGGCAGGTCTGAGTTGCAGACAGTGTCCCCACCCCACTCACCAGGTGCCCAGCGAGGGCCTTCCCCTCCACCGTCCCTTCCTCAGGGAGAAAACGTCAGTGCCCAGCATCAAGCCCAGTCCAGTGGCCAGGCCCAGCGCCAACAGAGGGCCTGGGGCCAACAGGAGAGTCCGAGAAGGGAGCAGCCGGTGGCCAGAGATTGTCCTGGGGCCATGAGCCCTGACTCCTCCTGAGCTGCCTGTGATGCCGGGCCGGGGGCACGCAGGGTGTGAGCTGCGCTTCCTTGTGAGGATGGGAGGACGCTGCTGGCTCTACAGCGGCCCCGAGGCACGTGCCCTACACAAGCTTGTCCCTGCCCGGCTCACAGGTGACCTGACCGGCGAGTGTCCTTGAGGGGCCAGGGCTTGGAGAGGGGAGGGGACAGCCCTCCAGGCAGGGAGAGTTCCCAAGCAAGGGCGTAGCACTGGGAGAGTAGATTTCTATCCAAGAGACAAGTGCAGATTTAAGGTGTATAGAGAAAAATCTTTGAGATGTAAGAAATGAAGGAATTTATGTTATAATTGTTCTCAAGAAAAACATTAAGATGAGATTTGAAGCAAAATATTGGAAATCAGTTTATGCAGTTTATACTCCAGTATATGGGCTTCTCGTGGAGTTTTAGTTTGAAGATTAAAACATGGCATCGTGGGCCTCAGTGCCTGTTATGGGCTGGAATTCGTCCCTGTAAATTCACACGGTGAAGCCCTGATCCCCAGTGCATCAGAATGTGAGGGGATTTGGAGGTGGGGACTTTAAAGAGGTGACTGAAGTAAAATGGGGTCATCAGGGTGGGCCCTGATCCAGTCTGACTGGTGTTCTCATAAGAAGAGGTGATCAGGACACAGAGGGACGACCCTGTGAGGTCACAGGGAGGAGATGGCATCTGCAAGCCCAGGAGAGGGGTCTCGGGACAAAGTGGCCCTGATCCTGGACTCCAGCCCCCAGGACAGTGAGGAAGTAAATGTCTGCCGTGTCAGCCGCCCAGTCCACCGTCCTTTATGGCAGCCCCAGGAAAGTAATGCAGTTCCTTTCAACACAGTGTTAAAAAGAAAACAAAATGAAACGGAAAGCAGGGCTCACTTACTAAGCACTGACCCCTGTCTGTCCACTGTTCTAGGAGCTTGTCCTGGCTGCCACCTGGTCTCCCCCACCGCACTTGAGAAGGACAGAAACGAAACCCGTCTTGGGCAGGATGTCATTAAATTAGTAGTCGCGCAGAGAAACACACGACTGTCCCTGCCCCGCAAGATGGGTTTGCTGGAAAGGGAGCACAATTATTGCTCTGATTACAAAGCAGCCCACCTCTCCCATTATTATCCGAGTCTCAGGAAATTAAGCCATTAGTTTAAGCCACAGACTCAACAGCTTGTCGTGACAGTGTGACTGAGCGGAGGAGCGACGTCCCTGGGGAAGGAACGTTCACCCTCCGCTCTCCTCAAGAGCCCCGTGTTTCCTGACCGGCCCGCCCAGCCGGGAGAAAGAAGTTGGGATTTTCAAACAGATCAAATAAGAGTCAGTTCACTTCAAAAAATAATTCGTCGACCTCTACTGAAAACATATGTGCCATTCTTTTGGAATGCATTTTGTATGATACAGTATTATTTTTCTGGGGTCCCTATTTAGCGTTTGGAGAGGCTTTACCTCTGGACGGGCAGAGGGGTGATGCTTTTTAGTCTGATAAGAGCAGAAGTTTTCTTCTGGGGTTTCTTAGAGCCATTGAATGGGATGAAATGATGTCAGGAAAAATACAGCAAGTATTTCTGGGGCTACAGCAACAGCAAAATTAGAACGTTGACTTAAGTGCCCTAATCAGTCCACCTCCTTAGGCTTCCAAAGCAGCTTCCTGGGGTTTATGACAACCCATGCAGAATGCAGCCCTGAATTCCTCTCTATGGATGTGTAAGCATTGTCACATTGGCCAATTTGCATCTGAATGGCTGTTTTAGACATTTTATTTAAAACCTGAATGTAAGAGCTGCTGTTTTCTACAGTTCTCCATGATCAGGAATGCTCTGGTTTCCAATCAAGTGAGGATACATTTCCAAATAGAGAAACAATGTGAATAAACCAGAGGCTGATTAAAACAGTGGGTTTGAGAGAGAGGACAGGCTGTGCAGGGAGAGAAAGTGCTCGCTACAGAGGAGGGGACAGCAGACCCGGGCAGCAGTCACAGGGAACAAGCCGTTAAAACAGAAGAAGTAGCTGGAGGAAGCTAGAAAGGGCACCCCTGGCCACGGGCAGAGCAGGACGCACACAGGATGACACGGACAGGGTCGCCCCTGCAGGGCTCTGGTGCCAGGGAGCCTGGGGGGCTGCAGGGGGCAGGCTGGTTGCTTTGGGCAACCTGCTCACCCCGAAGCCCACCCTGGGAGCCAGGTGGAGGGGCTCACGCTGGGTCCTGACATGAAGAGGGGAAGGGATGTGAGGACGGGGCTCCTCCCCCTTGTCCTCCTACTAGTTACCTGATCTTGGGCCAGGACAAGTGACCATTGGAAAATTTTCTTTCCAGGTGGTCAAGTCAGCATCCCCTACCTGCGCCTAGGCTGCGGCGGGACCGATCAGGAGCAGACAGAAGCTGCCTGTGCCGAGCTGCTGCTCTCTGTCTTCCTGTCATCCAGCCGCTCTTTCCAGACTTGGAAAGTCAGTGAAATGGCACGTCCAGCTCGACTGTCCTCACGGGGACGCCTGTCCTGACACGTCCGAGTCGACTGTCCTCATGGGGATGCCTGACCTGACACACCCAGGTCAACTGTCCTCACGGGGACGCCTGACCTAGCATGTCCAGGTCGACTGTCCTCATGGGGATGCCTGACCTGACACGTCTGGGTCGACTGTCCTCACAGGGACGCCTGACCTAGCATGTCCAGGTCGACTGTCCTCATGGGGATGCCTGACCTAGCATGTCCAGGTCGACTGTCCTCATGGGGATGCCTGACCTAGCATGTCCGGGTCGACTGTCCTCATGGGGATGCCTGACCTGGCACATCCAGGTCAACTGTCCTCACGGGGACGCCTGACCTAGCATGTCCAGGTCGACTGTCCTCATGGGGATGCCTGACCTGACACGTCCAGGTCGACTGTCCTTACAGAGATGCCTGACCTGACACGTCTGGGTCAACTGTCCTCATGGGGACGCCTGACCTGGCACATCCAG